GGCTCGAAATGAGTTTTTTCTCCCTTGATAAATAGTTGGAGCAAAACTTAACTGTAATTAATCTAATAATTAGAAGATTTCGATTAAATAAATAGCACTCGTATAGACCTCCAACTTATCATAAGACATCTATTGACTTATACAGACAGAAGAAATAACAGGTTGTATATAATAGGACTAAATTTGTTCGATCTCATATATCTTTCGTCTTAAATTAGACTTGAAAATCACTTATTGATGGAGTTAGTTGTGACACAGGAAACATCGTAACTGATTCCGAGCTCATCTTTCGGCTATAAGTAAGTCACAAAAATATTAAGAAATCTCCATGAGCGTTCATGTTTATATCGCTTTGTTACCAAACATATAGTTAACGTCATCAAGAGGAAAACAATTTTGATCAGAACTAAAATGTAAGATTGTTCTCTTGTTTAAACTCATTCCGTAAGAATGGTATAAAAATAGATATCTCAAACGTCCTCGCTAAAAGCAAGGCTCACAGATGACAAAGCTTATTTACTTTTTTTGAGTTTCGTTTCAACGACATGAGTGAACGTGCTAAACTCCTATTTTGGCCTACTGTATATGGTTGAGGAAGTGCAATGCTTTGTTTCTATCTCGGCATAGACTGCTAATACTCGAGAACCATCTGATCTTCCTCTTTGGGCTAAATATAGTATCGAATGCTTTAAAAACGTCTCTACTAGAAGCTTGTTGGTCATGGAAATTATTTTTTTAGCTTTAAACTATAGTTATACCATATGCACAATAGTTTTAAAGCATTAAGAAACAACAGCATTATCGACGCTGCGACGTCAAGTATGTGTCACGCAGTGATATTCATAGACAAAAAAAAGCTTTTAAGATTCTTGTCATCCCTATGAGACCTACTTATTGACAAAAAATGAAGTAAAAATCTGTTAAGTAATTCCTATAGCTCCTTCGTCAGAGTTTTTTGTTCCATATAATTATATTTTTAGATAAAAGACAAGTTTATCGCTGCATAGAATAATTTAACTAATAGTTGTTTTTTAATGAGAGCATAAATGAATAATAATTTCATAGCTATTAGGTAATGCATATATTGTTTTCTCTTCAAAACACTTTTTACTAATACGAAACAGTTTTCCTTATGAAATATTTGTAGATAAGACAAATGATATCCATCAACAGTAAGATGTAAATATATAGTTAGCTAAACGAAACAAAAAATAGAATATTTCAAGATACGTTAAAAGTTTGATGATGCTATCAATCGACACTTTATTTTTGATTTATGTTCTATTTTTGACAATCGTTTTCTGATGATATTCTTAGTAGTTGTTTATTTATGTAACATCAAATAATATGATATGTTTGTTAGCATTCGAAATGCTGACAAACATTAGTATCATACTAATTATATCTGTAAGGACAGAACTTCCTTTTTTTTTCAAATGTTCTCATAATTGCTAAATTACATGCCTATGCAAAGCAATTAACTTCAAGCTTTCATCCAGACATTGAATATGAACTAAACATTTTCAAAACAAACGGAACTCGTTTTCCACTCATGCTGATATTAATGAGCGCGATTCTACGAGTCGAGCAAAAACAAACGGAAACGACCAATCAAGTACAACATTGTATTGATACATCAAATAAAATACCGACGAAGTATTGAAATTAGTCTCATAGAACTGTGAGATAGTTTATCATTATTTGTAGTGAAACAAAAATATAAGCTTTAATAGGAAACATGTGTTTTTTTGTATTGCCCATACGATTATGTACATGTGATTTATTAACAGTGTCTGCTCTGGATTTGATTCATTAATAAAAATTACTTACACTGGGATAAATCTAACATTTATATTGTTTTCATTCAATATTTTCTTTCTGGCAGATTCTATTTCAACACTTCTTATTTCTGTGTTGCTGGTAAACAGCATTCAAACAATCCCTCGAATTCAATTTCATACTATTCTAGGCACAACTCAGTGTGAATTTGAAGTATCTTCAATTGTTGAAAGTCTTTTCACCTGACACAAAAAGTATTCAAATTTGTAATCAATTCTAAAGAGTTGTCATCGTATTGGATGATTATTTATTAAAAGAAGAACAAAAACGAGGCATTCTTAAAAATATCAAATATAGTATTTTATTCTCAAGTGATGCTTATGGAAAGTGCAGACAATTATTAAAAACTTCTGAGAGTGATTACAAGAAAACGAACGTATCATTCTTAAGACACTCAAACTTTTAGTGGATTTGGCTGTGATGTACTTTATTGTTGTGAAATGGCAACCTCGCGAAAAGCACGTTTGTTTTTTTGAAAAATTTTCAAACTTTTTAATGATTATTTACTCTATCAAGTACAGTTAAAGTCTTAATTGCTTTGGCGCATCACCAGACTAATGGCGGCGTCATGGTGGAACTAGGAGGAACTGAGTCCCGTCAGATGTTTTTGGAAATTTCCTAGTGAATTTAATTTTTTCTGATATTAATATTTCAGAGCTTGAGGCTGAGCCTCCTCACATCTAAATTTCTGACGCCGCCGCTACGCTAGACTCGTAGAGATCTACTAACAGACATAATATTACATGAAACAGTGCCTAATAATTAAAGATATTTCATTTTTAGATTTATCACGTAGAATTGAGGGAATCATCTTCGGGGGATGTAAAACTGCTTTATTTTTGTAAGATACTCAAAAGATTTGTACTATTATAATTAATTATTTACTTATAGCTTCAGTAAAACTATTAATTGTGCTGTAAATAAATTATCAAAAATATCATTTATTCATCGGCATGTCTTTAAGATTAGTTGTTTTTGTTGGTACAAATATCGGTAGTTTTAAACATTTATAATTTAATCTTGAATGTGAAGCTTTAAGGGGAAACGACTACAAGAAAGCGTGCATCTGTTTTTAGGTTTGATGAAGAAATAAATTCAGATATAGTTCATTGAAAGTATAGATTTACTCTTAAATTATTTTACTTGATAGACTAATAAAAGAAATGAATGATAATATTATTATTTTTAACTCGCAATATGTCTGGACGTATCAATCGTGCAGGAATATTTACATCATTAGAAAATTAAAAACTTAAAAAGAAAAACTAAATAATCAAGAAAGTTGATTTAATAGTATAGGAAGTGATTTGGAATAATCTGATTGGCAATATATATTATTTCAGTTCTAGTATTGTTGCCAATCATCGAAAAAATCTGGATAATTTTTTAATATATTGATTTAATCTTAATGAAAATGGAAAATTAATTTCAAGAAGTATGTTTTTTTTTATTTTTGACAAATTACTTCTGCTAGGAAATGCCTTTAACAATAGAAATTCAATGAAGAGAAAAACTGTTATGAAGTTTCATTCTGTTATTGTTCTCCATTTTCAATACTACTTGTCTTTCAGCAGTAAATAATAGATACGCACATAAATTAACTTCAACTTCTATTGTAGTCTGATTATTTGTCATCATCTTGCATACTATATATGTGACAGGCGAGTTTGGAATAGTTTTTTTCTTAATTTTTTTAATAGAATTTTTGTTGAGATCTGCCTTTAGAAATTTTTATATTGAGAATTATTCCTTGTATCTTTTTACAATGAGTTTTTAAATAATTCAACTTTGTCTATGTTTTAAACTATCGGGACATGGGAATATTGAATTTATCTGAGAAATATTTCTTCTCTATTTTGTTTTTCTTTAATCTATTATCATGAGCAGAAAAAAAAATATTTTTTTTTGATTAATTATTTTTTTTGCGCATCCCAATCTCAACTGAAATTCTCATGTCAACTGTGACATATATAGTGAATTACAGCATAGCATTAATATTCAATTCAAATAGGCTGACATACTGACATATTCAAATATTGAAATAGTTTCTATCGAAGATTTATTCGTATGTAAATTGTATCTCTATAATCTTCATTCTTATTTTTAGTACTTGTCTAACATCCAGAAGTCATATGGTGTTAATATTCGTCATGTAATCTTAAAATTGTTTTGCTCGAATAAATAGTTAATCTACTTGTATCTACTAGCATAATGTTTTCTTTTCAAAAAATAAACGTGTTTGAAAACAACATGACAGTAGCCTATAAAATGCATAATGAATCGTTATGATGTTTTGTTACAAGAAATGATGAATAGATTGTCCAAGTTCGACGTAAGTTTCGAACGACCTGAGTACCGCTAAAACAACGAATAGAACTAGTGAAAAGGAGAAAAATGATGAAACACCAAAAGAACAGACTACAAAATAAGGAAAAAGTGCGTGCTTTTTGGTTAGCGCAAACGGAGCGATTGTCATTTTTGTTGATCTCCTCCGACAGTTATTTTTTCTCTTTCTTCGCGCATTCGCGCTATAGCTAGTCGACTTTTTTTCTTAGAGCTATGATAGCTGTTGCATATAGTAGAATAGACACTCCATTATACACATATGAATTCTTTCTAGCTTGTTTATCGGTTAGTAAAAATATAAAGTTAATTATGGGCAAGAAAAAAAAACCTGAGTGATATGTAGAGATAGATAGATATTTATGTTCATGCTAGTTTGTTATTCATAAATGGTATATGATAACATGAGTTATTAGTTAACATACAAACATCTGGGTACTCATATGTATTCCAGATTCGTCAAGTTTTTATAATGTACAATTGAGTACATACTGAGAAAAATGTTGTTAATGGAAGACGTAGGAGCAAATAAAAAATGAATCAATGCGGTGCAATGGTCCTCATTGTCTTTTCTATTTCCGCAGGAGATATTATTCGATATTTTATGATCTGATTTGATTTATTCTTTTTTTCTTCTACTGTAGTGATTCATCATGATATAGGAAGAGCATTTTATATAAAAAAAATTACACAATAGAAAAACAGAAGTGAGTCAAAATATAACAGAAGAGATAAAGATGCTCATTTTTATTTTTATAATTCTATCTATCATATTTTCATTTTCTTTTTCTTTTTCTATTCCATAGATTTGTTTTCCAATGAGTGTTACCACCTCTCCTACTGTTCCGGCCTCAATAATCATCGAAAAAGAACCAGATAGCATGACAGACGATCATATTTCTACATGTAAATTAATTAAAGATCAATTATTTGAAGTGGGACCACGTTACACTGATTTGAAATATATTGGTGAAGGTGCATATGGTATGGTTGTGTCAGGCTATGATAGTCAAACATGTCAACGTGTAGCCATTAAAAAATTATCTCCATTTGAACATCAATGTTTTTGTCAACGAACATTGCGTGAAATAAAAATTTTAGCAAGATTAAAACACGAAAATGTTATTAATATTCAAGATATCATACGTTCGAATGTGTTCGATCAAATGAAAGATATTTATTTAGTACAACAACTGATGGAATGTGACATGTATAAATTAATAAAACATCAAAAACTAAGTAAAATTCAATAAAAATTTATACTAAAAAATAATAATTAAAACCTTCGTTCTATTTTCTTTAATAAAGGTTCAGAACATGTTTGTTATTTTCTTTATCAAATATTACGTGGTCTAAAATATATTCATTCAGCCAATGTACTGCATCGAGATCTTAAGCCATCGAATTTATTATTAAATACGAATTGTGATTTGAAAATATGCGACTTTGGTCTAGCACGCATTGCAGATCCATCATGTGATCATAGTGGTGTATTAACAGAATATGTAAGTTGTTACTCGATTTATTTCTTGAAATGATTTTAATCAAAAGAATATTTCAAATCCGTAGGTAGCAACACGATGGTATCGCGCACCAGAAATAATGTTGAATGCTCGTGGCTATAATAAACCAATTGATCTATGGTCTGTTGGATGTATTCTGGGTGAAATGTTGAATGGAAAACCTCTATTTCCTGGTATGTGGAATGTATCTTGCAAACAAAGTTGAAAATTTTATGATTTTTCTTTTATTTTTTATATCAGGAAAACATTATATTGATCAATTAAATTTAATTCTGAATGTAATTGGTTCTCCCGATGAACATGATTTAGCTTCGATTGTAAATGAAAAAGCTCGAAATTATATAGCTAGTTTAAAAGCTCGTCATAAACAGCCATTTTCTCGAATATATCCTGATGCTGATAGTAACGCATTAGATTTACTTGATCATCTATTAACATTTAATCCAAATAAACGTATCGATGTATCGGAAGCTTTAGCACATCCATATTTAAAACAATACTACGATCCTAATGATGAACCTACAGCTATTCATCCGTTTACTGTTGAAATGGAAATGGACGACTTTCCGATACCAAAATTGAAACAACTGATATGGAATGAAACACAATTAATAAAAGAACATATTTTATTTCAAAAAATGCCAATTAAGCCTTAAATAAAAAAAAATGCATAAAAACTTCTTTTTTTTTGTTAATATTTATCAAGGGCTGGCTCCTTTTAATTTTTTTGTTGTTCTCGGTGTTGTTGTTGTTGTTGTTTTGTTCTTAAGAAAAAGAAAAAGAAAGAGAGATAATATAATAATTTAATAAGAAAAAAAAATATATTTATATATTCAATTGCGATATTCTCGGTGAAGAAACATCAATTCACTCAAGTACATTAACTTTAAAAGTATATTGAATAATCTCTCGGCAATTTTAAAGAGCTAAAAAAGATAAAAGGCTTTTAACAGTTAAATTTTCAATTAATATTCCATATTGAATGTAAGCTCGTATTCATGAATAATTTGTTGAATGTGCATGAAACATGTTTGAATTTGTTTTTAAGCAAGAATTCATTCTAAAAATAATTTGTACTTAAATCTATGACTACAGCTGTTAATCATAGACCGGTATTTATAAATACATACACAAGTTCTTGTCTTTGTAATCCTGTAAGAAATATATGAGAATATCTTATTTAAGGAATTCTATACTGCCCGTTGTTTTTATGTTTTTGTTTTTCTCCGTTAATTTTCCATCGTATTCATCATGATGTGAAAAATTAAGCATATTTTTTATGTATGCCTAGGAGTCTTGACAGTATTCTATTTCATTTAACACTATGACAAGTAGCATTAGACGTTTTTACTCAACGGTTCATTACTTCTTTCATTCTAAAAAAATTTACACTTGCATTATTTGATGAAAAGGAATAATTAGCGAGTTCAGAAGCATTCTCTACTTATCTGTAATACAAAACAAAAAAAAAGTGAAGAAATAAAAGCAATATGTAAAAGTGACAGAAGGTTTTAAACAATCATTCAATTCTCTTGATAATAGATAAATGAAAGTGCAAAATTAATCATGAATATTAGAGAATTCAGCAAGGGCATTGAAGTAACAAAACAGTTATATTATATTAGCTAATGAAATATCTATTCGGAAAAGTTAACGTGAACTATCTTCTACTGACGATTCATTTTTTTGTATCGATGGTCTGGGTTGGATGTAGATTTCATTTTTTCTTTTTATCATTGCCGAAACAATCTATTTCCTAAACAATTTTTGTAAATTATACTATCTTTAAAGTACTTCACAAAAAAGTTTTTGCTATTGGATTTTTCGATAGTAATAATATCCTAAAGATATCTATGTTCTATTCCATTTATGGATCATTGTAACCTGTCTTATATGAAGATTTTACCAAAAAAAGGAAATAAATCTAGCTGAAAATATTACAGTGAGCTAAGAAATTTTGATAGCACTTTTTTAGGTTACCAGTGAACCTCTCCATTTCTTTTCATCACAATGAAATACTTCATCGTAGACTATAGAAACCCTTCAAGCATCTGAATTCGCTTTGAGAGCTTTGTAAAAATCCTAGGATTCAATGAAGGATAAGTTGACCTTCATGAAACTATATCAACGATATTCTATAACATGAACAAGAAAAAAGATACAAAAGATATTTTTCGGTAACCATTTTAGTTGATATTTCCAGTTTTTCTTTAGTTCTACAAGTAGGTTCTCTATTGTTGATATGAAGAAAATATTCACCATTTCACAATACGTATTCAGTATTACTCCAAATAGTATTAAAAGTAAAAAATATCAACGAATCTTACTAAAACCTTTCTCTTTATTTCATCGGAGAGCACAAAAAAATAACAAAAAAAAAACGAAAATCTAAAAACCGAACAAAAAAAAACACAAAAAAAAGAAAAATAACTGTTTTTTTTTCGATCACTGGTTTAATTTATCTTTTCATTACGTTTATACAATCCATAGAATAATCGTTGAGGATTTGTTGTTTTATTTAAATCATAATCAAATATAGCTAGTAAATCAAAACCAACCAGTTCTAATTTATTTTGCCATTCCTGACGTGTTTTATATTGTATTGATTTCGTATATTTAACAATTTTCTTTTTTTGTTCTACCCATGTTAATTTTTCATTTTTATGCGTTACATAATCATTACTAAATTCTCCTATACGCCCGATGATCATAATACCATGGATAAAATGTAAATATTTTGTTAATACTGAACGTTCTAATTTACAATCGTGTTCACGTATTAAAAGATAACCGTTTGGTTTAATAATACGTGCAAGTTCATTCAGCATATTATCAATATTTTCGATATGATGAAGCGTAACAAGACATGTTATTAAACTAACAGATTGATCACCTAAGTAAATTTCAATAAGAATTAAAAATTTTAAAATCTTTGTTTTTTACTTAGATCAATAATTGATTGGTTTTGATCGATTGATACATGCGTTATTTGTTCATTATTACTATTAAAAACATCACCGCCATAAATATTTTCTTTTTTTATATTAAAATGATTTCCAATACGAGCTGTTATCAAACCATTTCCACAGCCTAAATCAAAATAACTATCAATTGATTCTTTATTAATTAATTCATTGTTGTAAAGTTTTGATGAAAGTTTAAATCTGGAATTATAATTTTTGTCAAATATAGATTTTAATTCATTGAAACGACTTTCAATTCTTGATGTTTCTTGACGTTTATGTAATGAAGCTTTTGCGCCTATTAGTAAAAAAAAATATGTATAACAATAAAAAAATCAATTAAGATTAAAAGAAAAACGTCTACCAGGTATTTTTGATACTCTTTCAATTAATATATTAAGTAGATCAAGTTCATCTATTGTCTTATATAAACTTTCATTCCATAATGTATTAAAACAATGATAAACATTTGCTTGTTGTCCATAGATTTTACCAATATAAGCTAGTAGTGCATCGGAATAAGATCTAGTTGACCATAATGATAATCGAGGTTCCCATGAACCCATCCATCGAGTAAAAACATAATCATGTGCGACTTTTACGGGTGTTAATTCCTTACGATTAGGAGTTATTGTTTTTGTTGTTGATTGTTGATTTAACATCATCGGCAGTAAATAATCGTTGCCGATGAATGAATTTGATGGTCATTTGTTTTGATTTACGAAAGAGATAAAGAATGAAAAGAACGAAAAATAAAAATAATCCAGGGTCCATTTTAGACAAGTTGGAGAAAAGAGAATAGAATAATTCGTCTAGTTGATAGATATGAAACTTTGTCTATTGTAAAATAAAAAGAACACGACATTTTTTCGAACTTGAGTGACCGTCGATCATCGATTCAAGCCAGATTTGACTTGTGTGTTCCAAGTTTTATTTGAATATAACAAATATTAATTATCATTCGGTAGAAATCACAGCTCAACAATCTATTATTTCAAGTCAGAAAATCGATCGAAATTATATAAATTCCTGATTCGACGTCATGTTACTCGTGAATTCGAAATCACTTTAATCTACTATGTGGCTTTCAATTACTACTTGTAATTCTTTAATCATGTGCATGTATCTGACAATCGGCAGTAATTTTTGAAATTTTAGGTTCTGTTTTTCAAAAAGAATTTTTCATTTGAAAATTGTACCGCAGTCTGTAAAATATATTAAAATTTTTTCAACCAAACGTATCGATTAATTATACTAACGTTGAATCTCAAAGAATTGCTTGCAAAACTAAAAATCATGTTAGGCTAATCAACCAAGTCACGATGTCAAATCTCGTTGCGAGTTTTTTACGCATAGTTTTGTTTTCAAAGTGAAGAAATTTTGAAAAAAAAACACACTTAATGAGACAAGCTACTGTTCAAAGCTTCCAACAGCACAAGATAAATATAGTTAATCATCAATCACGACTAGAAAATTTATGCAAAATGAAGAGATCAACTATGAAATTCAATTGTTAATAATCTTCTACAAGTTCTTTCGGGCGTTCACACAAATAGTATCTTGTATATTATTGATGATTTTTCAATCGAAAACATACGCACATCACTCAGCTGGATATTTATTTTCAAGGATTATTCTAATGGTTTCATCTAAATCAATAATAGTGTATTCATTGATTTGAACCAAAACTAGTGCGATACTTTAAATCATATTTATATTGATATTCATATAGACTGGATAAATTTAACACGCCATATGTTTGAACATGCTGCACTTAAACTACAGTTTCCAAGTACCCTTCTCCAAAGTTACAATGCTTCATCTACTTGTACACAACTATTAATATTAAGGCATATATTGTACTTATAATTTATAATCAGACAAATAAAATGTAAGTAGCCGAGTTTTTCTGTCAGTTTAATCATCTTTATTGATCCTCTTATTTGAAATAATCTCTACGAAATAACTATGCGTTTATTTTAGTTTTCAACAAAATTTTTCAAAATAGTATTTTCATAAATAAGCTAAGTTTAATTTATCAATATGAATTAAAAAACGCGCATTTCATTATTTGTTATTATTAAAGTTTTTTTTTATTGCAGCTATCAAATGTATAGAGAAAGGTCATTGAATGAATATATCTCAGTAATATTCATGTGCCGTTGACTTCTTTTTAATCGTATCCTTGACCATTCTGTTTTACAAGAACTTCTCGAAAAAAATTTTTTCTTAGTTCTTTTAACAGCAATCGAATAACTACTTATATAATTGTTTTTCCAAGTATGCGGGGCTACTCAGCAACAGTGCACTTGTATACATTCGATGCAACAAAGTCATGAAGGTTTCGCTTATAGATAGTTTTCTTTGTGTGTAACCATTAAAACTTTTTTATGAGACGTATTACAATTCATGGAAGTTATTGAATATAGTTCCATATAATTAATTTTCGAACTAGGAAAGTGTCATTAATTTCGCATCATCATCGTGAAAGCTTACTTTCAAAAATGAATGAGTTAACAATATGTATTCAGAAGTCACCAGACTGAAAGCAGGCAAGGCTAAGTAAACTGTTGGTGACGTGATGCTCACAATATCATTTATTTATCTACATGGTTGAAATAAGAACTACTCTTAGAACACTATTCTAACTTCTTCTGATCGCAGTCAGTAGCCAGTCGAACTGAACAACCGTACATATGTTCAATTACTAAGTATGCAGTGGTTTCATTACAAGCTGAATTGATTCTCGATTCAAATAAAATCATGTTTTAATAATGTTTCTATTAGAATTCAAATGAATGGTTTTGAAGACAGTCTAACAAAAAACAAACGATCTGTTATTATTTTCTTTGTGTTTGACTTTCACAGGTAATGTTTCATTCGTGAATAAAATATTTTCCTAGATTCTTCTATCGGTCAGAGACGAAGTCATAATTCTAATCAGTCCCATTGAACTGAACAGATGTCATTACATATAACAATGCCTTTTGTTTAAAATTAATCAACATTCTCTGTTATGTATTTTCCAACTAAACCAAAAGGGCAATTTTTCGATATAATACTACGAGCAAAAAAAATATAAGATACTATGGCTACAAAAAAAAAGAAAAATGCCGCATTCATCTGAATTTCTAAACACATTCCATACTAGTTGTCTACCAAAACAACATGCACACATTGAAACAATCACTACGAGATCACACAACGGAAAATGAAAAAATAAAATGAACAATTTCAAATGGGATGTTTTTAATCAACTGAGGTACTGTTTAGAGCAGCAATGGCAAAGTTCCGAGAAAATGTCACTTGTTCTGCCCAAAGTTTCGTGGACAGATGCCGCCACCGGTAAAGTCCTATGGCGGGATTTTAGGTTGAGTGTGAAGGATTTTTTACAGGACTTTAGGTAAAGTGGACTTTTTCTGGATCTTTGCCAGCCCTCGTTTAGAGAAAAAGAAACACCGAGCTATTAAGAAAATATTGTTATAACTTCACGACCACTGCCACGCATTAATAATAATCTTTGCAAACCTTCTGTTAATACATCAACATATTCCATGTAAGAATAAGCAGCTAAACTCGATTGTTTTGACGGTGGCGATGGAAGATTAATAAGAACCAGTTTAGCATCACGCGAACGCTCCTTAATTTGTTCATTAAGTCTCACAGCTGAATGCATCTTACGCATCGATGATTCAGATCTAAATATAAAAAAATAAATTTCCTTTTTTTCGTTGTCTCTTTCATACTTACACATTATTTTTAATACGCTCTAATTGGCTTGGCGTGAATGTATAATGATATTGATCACTCGTTTCATCAATAGTAGTTTGGCGTTGTGATTTCTGTTGATTATTTACCATTGTTTCCATAGGTATATGAGACTAAAATCAATAGGATTTATTTCATAGTTAAAAATCCAATATAAAAATTAGATGGTATTATTAAACAGAAAACCATTACAAATAGTAGTGGATTACTATATTCATTTCGTTTCATTACCTTGCTTGTTCGTCGTTCAAATCCAATAGCCTATATAAACATAGATCGATTAGATTTAAGATTTTCTTATAAAATAATTTACTTGAACTTGTAGTTCTTTACCGTCTAATTTCAAATCTTTAAGTAATTTGATACGTTCAGCTAATTTAAGTGTTCTTTCATAAGCATAAGCTGAAATCTCTTGATCAGCCTAAAATTTTACATCATCTTGATCATTGTAATTAAAATATTTACAAAGAAACTAACCATTTCGATAACGTCAACTTCAGCTTCAATACGCAATTGATACATATATTGTTCAAGATCTTTTTTCATTGCAACTGAATTATCTTCGCTTTGTGTCACAGTATATAAACGTATACGACAACGTGACCAAACTTTATTACGTTTTAATAGAAAAGCAATAAGAAAAAGAAGACCACCATCATGAATAATCCACCAGATATCAATTGTGCCATCTTGAATTTCTTTAACATCTGGAAAATTATCAATGTTTTTCGGGACAATCACAGCACATTGGCGAGCTTCAGCAACAGCAATTGTACCTATGGAACAGTTCGAAAATAAAAAATAAAGGTTCATAGACAAAAACAAATTTACATACGAATGAATGCGTCAGCTGCAAAACCATCAAAATCTTTTTTCCATTGTGATGGCCAACATAGAACAATTGTATTTGGTCGTAAGCCACCTAAACCTTCGGTTTGAATTCTAATTTTAAAAAATTAAAATCAAATATTAAACATATGAAATTAAAATTTCAATAAAAATCTACATACAATGTACTTATACCATCTTCGGCATCTTTAGTAACTAGTACTTCAGCAAAACCTTGTACTTTAGCGTGAGCCAAACCAGATTTCAATAACTAAAATCATCAAAAAGAAAAATCTGGTAGAAAACAAGAGAATATGTTTTAACATTTGTAAACTACATATATAAAACTGTACGGCTGTCAATAAATACATTATTTTCTTATGGAGATCTAAATCCTTGAAAAATGTTGTAATCGATATATGAAATTTGATTATTTCAGTCTGGTTAATAGCAATCTCAGAATTATGTTAAAGGATATTCTTTCAAAATCTTCTTACTTAAAATAATTCTATTTTGGGAAACAAGATCTTCCGGCAATTTTGACGTATATTAAATAAAATATTTTCCCCCTACAGATCATGGCGGATAGAATTATAGAGATGTCATATACATCCTCGCAACAGCTTCGCTTTCCTCCAAGATATATATCTTACAAGAGATAGATAGAAGCACTCTTCCTGTGAACACCAAATAACAGTTACGTCTTCTTTGCTAATTCTATTCTGCAGAGACTACGTTAACAACTTTTTTTCAAGTTTCAAGAAACTTTTCTCAATTAATTTTGATCATTTCCATAGAATTAATTCAATTGTCATTTGAGATGACTTCCTGACCTAAATAAATAAGATTGAAGCACCGAATCGACCTTTGGAAATTTTCAACGCGAGCTTTCATTCGATTAATTTTTGCACATTGATAATATTAAAAAAAAGGAATGACAATAAACTTGGGACCAAGGGGGAAAAAGCGATTTATGAGTTTCATGATTTTTCTGAGTTTAGCTGATTTAAAATGAGTTTGAGAAAACGAAAAATTTGCTAAACTAACTAAAAACTATTCCAAATCATAAATTATTACTGAAAATCATTCAAAGGCACCGAAACTCACGCAAACTCATTCCGATACAGTTAATTTATATTGATTGTAAGTTGAGTTTTACTGTGATTTAAATCAGCTTTTTCCCCCTTGGAAATTACACTAGCTGAGTGTAAATTGTAATTATTAATCTGAAGCAACTACTAAGCTATAGACATCATTTACTATACGGGAGTACCACAGTCCTTAAGTCAAGTTTTATAAAAAATATAAAAAATTACTAAAAATATTAATAATTCTTAAAAAAAATAAAAATCTGATCCCGGATTCGCAACTGTTAAAAACCCTGATGTCTCCATTTTGACTCCTAAAAACGTATATTCAGAATACTTTCTCCACGTGCGTAACAGAATGAAATATGAACTACAGTCTCACGAACGCTTTCTTTTATAGGATCCTTGTGTGACTAAGCATATCACAGATTATTTTTAACAAAAGCAATTGTTCTAAGAATATTCTCAACTCTCTAAAAGATTATAAATATTTTAAAGTAATTCGGCTCCAAATTTTTTCCTGTTCGGATCGGTTTGTTTAAGAAAAAACACGAACAGATCCTATCACTGCCATACACCCTCACTCTTTTTACATCTTTACGATAATCTGAGTGGCAGGAAGCACAATCAATGTGATGCTTGAAACTCAACTGTGCGATTTTTGCTTTCTTTCGTTTTTATGTTTACTTCTGTCGGATGAGTCACAAATGTTGGCAAAATCCAAAAAAGAATAGTGCGCAGCACTATAATACAGCATTGCAAAAAACATTGCACATATAGTTTCAACTAATATTTTGGCGCACAAAAGTAAGAATAACCAAAAAAGCATTTGTTTCTTGTATATATATATATTAGTATTGAACTTTTTATGTACTTTCATCATGGAACCGAGAGTAATGCTGATTCTGATGTGTCGCTCCGTTATTTGTCAAGACTATCGTAAACGATAGTATATAGATGCTGATATTAATGTAAACATCTGCAGACGATCGAGCGTGTGCCACATTCCAATATTCAGATTCGATTGGATTTGGCTTTAGGTGGTCTCAAATTCGAATAAATCCAAGACTAAACCCTTCGATTCAACATGATTCCAATATATGTCTAGGCTGAAGCAAAATTTATAACTTGTTTTAAAAACACTCATTATAAAAATATATTGAATATGAAGATTTACTGAGTTTTATCTTCCCTTCGTTGCAGTAAATCTATTCACTAGTTTTCGTTATATTTGCCTATGGATTGAAAACTTTGAGGTTCCTGATATCATTTACTTTTTCAAATATCTTTACTTTTCAGATGACGGAATAACTATTGAACTATCTTTTTTTTCTAGTATTACATCAAACTCACCATCTAATATATTATTAAAATTTTTACATAATTCTTCTTTTGTTTAGAGTTATTTATAATAATAAAAAGAACTTTATTGTTACACGATTTATTCCATCGGAAAACACAAATGTCTGACGTAGATCTTCTTCATCTTCCAGTTGAACTACTTCATCGCATATTCGACTATCTTGAAGCCCAAGCAATTTGGTCAGTTCGACGAGTATGCAAACAACTCTATTCGACTACAAGCACTTATGATAGATTTCATCTCAATATAAACTCGCAGTCAAAGCGTCTATTGAAATTGTTCGCTCGATGGATTTTACCAGAATGTATTGTTTCATTAACATTTGACATCCCTGAGTCTAGAAATTATTTCTTTTGGTGTCTACGAACAGAATCCGAAGATGATATGATTCGTTTATTCATATCACTTTTCGCTGGTCATCAATTTACTCGACTTCGTTCATTAGTCATCAATAGAGCATACGATAGGGATATAGATTTTCTTTCGCATCATTTGAATACCAATTATCTTGAATCACTCTCCGTCCATATGTATGGAGATAGAGTGAGTATTACAATAGTTTTTATTAATGCGATTCTTAGTCAAAATTGTATTCGAAAGTTGTATTTCAATAATTCAGTACACATAATAAATGAGATGCCATGGCCGGATCATTGCAAATTAGAACAGTTAATACTTAATACGTGTGGGTATAACCGATATCTAATGGTTCTTAACGACCTGCTTAATTTAAAAATATTTGTGATAGATGAATGGCATAGCTACAATTTTGGTTTTTCGACTGATTTGCTTGCTTGCAAGCATCCATCGTTATTAACATCTTTAACAATTAGAAATTGTACTCTACCTATGGAACATATCGAAACGTTACTTTCACGAACACCAGCACTTGTTCATCTCAAATTAATATCACGTAAACGCGCATTCGACTCTATTTTCGACGGTTACAATTGGGAACAATTAATTCTCAATATGTTACCTCAACTCAATCAATTTGAATATTTCTTTTCTTTCATTAATAAAAAAAATGATTATATGAAGATTCTTAATCGCGTTATTGCTTCATTTCAAACTCCATTCTGCCCAAGTAAGCAAAAAATGAAGGGAGACTGCCGACATGACTAATCAGAAATGTCCGCCGCTGCCGTCAAGTCTAGTCTGAAACGTCTTGCATAGCCGTCTTGTCTAGTCAGCTTAATGAGGAGTGTCATGCAAACACATCTGTACTAGTCTGAAATGTCCTTGAGCCCAGTCATGTCTAGTCTGTGTTGTCTGTTGACCTAGTCCAGACTAGTAAGAAGGTTAAAACAGAGGTTACACGGTGAATTTGAACATCCAGCCCGACAGTG